CACATTATGATGTATGTTCATCCAGGTTGTTTCCATTATATAAAAGACAATTATGGCAGAAAATTCAAACTATTGGAAAAGTGGAAAGAAGCATAGCTGAAATTCTACTATCTGGAAGATGACTACTGTTCACATTGTGATGTATGTTCATCCGGGCACCTCCATGAATACTAACACAACTGGATATAATTTTATTTAAATGAGTCCATTTAAATACATTGTTTCATTTGTCCCCTTTAAACAGAATTGCTGTTCTATAATCTGCTTTTTCAATTAAATAATCTTTCATTTTATTCTGTGTCAATAAGTAAAGATCTAGATCACTTTTTAACAGTTGCATAATATTCTCTTATATGGCTACTCCGTAATTTAGTTGGTGCTACTTATTAACCCATCATCCAGAATGTCCCTGTCTTTTACTATTACAGTAAATGTTGCAGAGAATAGAGTTGTGCAGAAAACCTTGTATTTTTGTCTCCTTAGATTTAAATCTCAGAAGCGTACTATTTGCATTTAAATCCTTCATCCATTTGGAATATGTTTTTGTATATAGTGTGGGATTACTGTCTTTTCTCATATGGTCATTTGTTCCAATATCATTCACTGGAAAATACATCCTTTCCCCCCTGGTTTGAAATTGCTGCTATCATATATTTATTTCCCATACAAATGGGTCTCTCCTATCCCTGTGCCAATGTTGCATTGTGGCCATTACCATAGCAAGTTCCCAGATGGGGGTATTAGACTTCAAACCTAGAACCTCTAATTTTTGTAGCCATCTGCCTGTGACCTGCTGGGGTAAAGGTCCTGCCTAGGTTATTCTGTTCACAGTACACCTCAATGATATTGTTCTGCAGGATGAAACATGGAGAGTTCTCATGTCAGCCAGCCCTGATTTGCACTGTATTAAGTGCTCTATAAATATTTTGTTTCAAGAACTGGCATCCAATAAAGTTAGCTTATGAAGAGTTTATTATAAACCTACAATATAAAATGTCAACAGCATGACAGTAGCAAGGGTTTTATTGCTTTTGGTTTAGGTATTAGGAAGCATAATAAATAATCTCTTGTTCTCCCAGACTGAATTCTCAACCAATTGAGAAGATAAAGGAGTAAGAAAGATGGCAGACAAAAATACCTTTATTTCTGATAAAGCTGATATTGGAGAAGGTGGCTTATATCTGCAGGCAGGTGGGCTTCTGAATATTGCACCTGAAAATAAGGCAGACTTACTCAGATCTCACCAGCTGTGCTAGACCCCTGTAGGCTACCACCACAGGTGCTAGTCCTCTCATAAAGGCAAGGAGAGAAAGAGGATACTTGCTTTCTATGGATAGGCTAACTATCAAGAGGAGGGAGAGAGGAGGGGGCTCGGCTCTGCAAACTCAATTTCTACTTTCAAATCTACCAATCCTACTTACTATATGTCTTCCTTGTGAGAATATAAGCTTCATGAAGACAAGTACTGTGTTTGTCTTCTCCACTTTTTTAACTTCCAGCACTGTACTTAGGACATTGTAGGACGTCAGTGAGTATTTGTTCAATGAATGTTGTTAGCGCACTTACCTACTCAATATATTATTTTAAAATTATTGTATTATACGTTTTATATCTGTGAATTGATATCTTATTATTATGTCCTAAATACACAAAAGTATAGGGCAAATTAATAAATAACCATTGCCATTTGTGATTTTTAAAACAACTTTTGGAATTTTCGTATAAAAAAAGACTAGTTAGGTCTACTTTTTATGCCTTAGGATAAAGCAAAAACAGACTACAAAAACAATCTGGCTTTGACATATTCGATGAGTGCTTGTATAGAGAAAATAACAATTTTGTTTGTGTAAAACAGCAATATCTGATGTATATACTGAGAACTTCATAAATATTTTCTCTGCTCTTGCCTCCTGTGCATTTTCTTTTGTTTTTCTTTCTTCTTTAAATCTTATATTTCCACTCTGTTTGTGTGTGTTTGTGGATTTAGGGATTCGTTGGTAAAAAGCATTACTTATTCTGATTTAAATTAGGTCTGGCTGCATAATTACGAGAGATGTTGGGATTGTAGTCAAAGACTACATTTTTTGGTTCACTCATTTAATAATGGTTAATAAAATTTTAAAGTAAAATATCCAAGACTAAAAAGGATAAACACATTGTTTTAAAGAAAACGTTTAGATAGCTAATGTACAAATATTCATCCAATAATGATAATGTAAATGTTAGAACTTATTTCCCTTAAGCTTAAGTTGGGGAGCCACACGTGCTTTGCAGATAAATGTGGTTTTGCACATGCCTTTCAGAACTGTTTAGGCTGATTGGTATTTCTTGCAGGAGTTACAGATAAATTTTCCCAAATGCATACAAAATGGATGTCGAATCCAAATAGATTATACAAAAAGAGCCCATGTCCTGACACACATTTTAAGCTTTAAATGCTAAATTATATATTTCAAATAACAATGTTACCATGTGCCTGAGGTAATTTAAAATTCTTGCAAATTATTTGGTATCTTTTAATCTTTATTTGCTAGAGTAATCACAATAGCCTTAAAATGAGAATTTTAGGGTTCCTTGATTTTTCCCTTTAGTAGAATAATAAAATGAGAAGGGTTTAATTTTCTTCTGCTTTTTAGAGTTGATATGAGTCTTGTTCTACCAAAATGTACTGTGATTGCAGAAAGTCCTGGGAAGATTTTTCTATCCACACAAAATGCCTACCATAGTTGACTACTGATTTTCAAATTCATTCTATCTAAATCTGTGCTGTCAAGTAGAATTTTCTGTAAAGATGGAAATGTTCTATAATCTGCACTATCCTATATGGTAGCCATTAGTTAGATGGGGCTTTTGAGCACCCAAAATGTGGCAGGTGCACCTGAGGTGCTAAATTTTAAACTTTATTAATTTTTTGTTTATTTGTTTGTTTGTTTGTTTGTTTTGAGATGAAGTCTTGCTCTTATAGCCCAGTCTGGAGTGCAATGGCGCAATCTTGGCTCACTGCAACCTCCACCTCCCGGGTTCAAGCGATTCTCCTGCCTCAGCCTTCTTAGTAAATGGGATTACAGGCACCTACAACCACGCCTGGCTAATTTTTTTGTGTTTTTAGTAGAGACAGGGTTTCACCATGTTCGCCAGGTCTTGAACGCCTGACCTCAGGCGATCTGCCTGCCTCAGCCTCCCAGAGTGCTGGGATTACAGGTATAAGCCACCGTGTCCAGCCAATTTTATTTAATTTTAATTAATTTAAACTTAAATAACTACATGTGGCTACTCTATTGGACAGCATAGAATGTCTTTCCACTTTTAGATTTAGTATAGACATGTCCCTGGAAAAGTTGACTTTAATTTATATGAATTCATTTAACATATTTTATGAGCATTTATTGAACACCTAGAGAGTTTATGTGCTTGGTGTCAGAAATACTTTTCTTTTGGATTTCCCGAGGCAGCTTTTTGGGGAAGGTGTGGCAACCTCACATATGTCATCCCACACACTTGTGTGAACAAGTCTTGGTAACAAGGACTCTGCTGGTTCAAAAGGAACTGGCTTTCTTTCACCCTGATCTCCAGGGCCCACCATGGCAGGGCCATCATCTGCTGGGCTGAAGGGTGAGTAGGGTCTCCTTTCACTCAGCTGTGAGCTTTGGCAGGTTCAGGCCTTTATCTGCTAGGAGGAAGGGGCACCTAGGTGAAATTCTCTCAAAGACATAAGGGTTAATGTGGCCCTGTCACAGAGATTCTTTCTTTCGGTTTACTCCACTTAGTTGCTCCTGACACTTTCCTCAACAAATTTTCAGTGGTAAAAGCAAACACCTCTTCACAGCTACACAATACCTACTTTTTCCAGCTTTATTGAGGTACAGTTGACAAATAAAATTGTTTATATTCAAGGTGTATAATGTGATGATTTGGTGTGTCTATGTGTTGTGGAATGATTACCACAATCAAGCCAAGGTATCCATTGTCTCACAGTTACTTATTTTCGTGGTGAGAGCACAGAAGATCTCTCAGCAAATTTTAAGTGTACAAGACATTACTATTAATTCTAGTCACTCCGCTGTGCTTTAGGTCTTCAGAACATATTCATCTTGTCACTGAAAGTTTGTATCCCTTAATCAACATCTTCCCATGTTCCCTACCTCCTGACCCCTGGTAGCTCCCCTTCTACTCTGTTTATGTGAGATCATGCAGTATTTGTCCCTCTGTGTCTGGCTTATTTCACTTAACATAGTATCCTCCAGGTTCATCCGTGTTGCTGAAAATGGCAAGATTTCTTTCCTTTTTAAGGGTTAATAGTACTCCATTGTGTATATGTGCCACATTATCTATTTATTGTTCAACAGATACTTTAGTTATTTCCATATCTTGGCTATTATGAATATGCTGCAATGAACATGGGAGTATAAAATAACTCTTTGAGATAGTGATTTTATTTTGTTTGGATATATACCCAGGATGAAATTGCTGTGTCATCTAGGAGTTCTAGTTTTCATCTTTCCAGGAACCTCCATATTCTTTTCCATAATGGCTATACTAATTTATCATCCCATCAACAATGTATAAGGATTCCCTTTTCTCCACATCCTCACCAACACTTGTTATCTTTTGACTTTTTGTTAATAGCTGTCCTAACAGAAATGAGATGATATCTCATTGTAGCTTTCGTTTGCATTTTTCTGGTGATGTTGAGTACCTTTTCATATACCTGTTGGTCATTTGTATGTCTTCCTTGGAAAAGTGTCTATTCAAGTCCTTTGGCTATTTTTTTTTTCTTTTACCAAAAACTGTTGAGACTATTCCAAGTAATGGCTATTTTTCTTTTTAATGAAAAGGAACTCATGGAATGGGAGATAGTGTTTGCGAGCTATATTATCTAATAAGGGATTAAGTTCCAAAACATACAAGGAACTCATACAAGTCAGTAGGAATAATTAAATAATAACCCAGTTTAAAAAATGGGCAAAGGATCTACTTTTTTTTCTGTTTGTTTTTCAAAGGTATCCTACCTTCTGGAAGGGGGCAGCATGGCCCATGAAGACTTCTGTGGACACACTGGTAAACTGAACCCAGGAGATTTGCAGGTATGGCCAAGGACAAGGAATTGCTGGTGGTTTAATGGTCTCTGGGTGTACATGCTTGATCCTGCCCACTTCCAGTACATTCAACCTTTCCACATTCTCTCTGTTATATTCTTGACTACTCCCTTTCTACAGATCCTTTCACTTAGCCTGGGAACCACACAGGTCTCTGATGTTCTTATTTCACACTTTCCTTTGCCCCCAATCACTTTTTAGTCCCCACCTAGTCTTTTTCTTACATTTCTCAAAAGAGTAATCAGGAGTGATATCCCAACTTCCTTATCTTCCATTTGTTTTATACTCACTGAAATCAGAGTTGACTTCTCAGTAGCCCCCTTCCAAACCTTTGCTGAAGCTATTCAGGTAATGATCACTTGTGATGTCTCAATTGCCAAATTCAGTAATTGTTTTAGTCCTCATCTTTCTAAACCTCTTTGCTGCATTTGAGACAATTTGTTATTTATCTTCCCACTCATTTGCAGGGTTAGGCATTATCACTGAAGACAATGACCTCGAGCCCTCCATCATCTAGTCTTGCCTGAGATATGTTACAATTTAAATCACCCAAAATACTTGGGTCATATTTGCCAGTTTTGTAAGTTAGAACTCTATACCAGGTACTTTCTGGGATTATATATATGTTTTGAGGAATGATAAATTCACATATTTGAATCATAATATTTCAATGAAAGTGAAATTTAAAGACAAAAAAGCAAAATAACAAAGTCGTGGTGAAAAGTCAATAGTAACCTCTCACTGGAGCAGAACATGAAACGAAGACTGCTTGCAAAGGTAGATATGATAACTGGAAATGTCCTGATCATGGAAGTGGTGACTTCTGCCGTCTGTAACATGGAGCTGCCTAGCAGCCATGTGTGTGAGGCATTGGTCAACACTTCTACCACTATAACTTCACATTGATTAGGATGATGATTGCGTAGTGTCTTTCAGTTTATTCAGAGTTTTCATATGCATGATCTCTTTGTGATAAGTATTACCATTACTATTATTATTATTGTTATTATTTTGAGACAGGGCCTCACTCTGTTTCTCAGGCAGTAGTGTAATGGTGTGTTCATGGTTTATTGCAGCCTCGACCTCCCCAGCTCAAGCAATCCTCCCACCTTAGCCTCCCTAGTAGGTGGGACCACAAGTGTACAACACCGCACCTGGCTAATTTTATTTTTTTGTAGAGACAGGGTCTCGTTATGTTATCTAGGCTGGTCTCAAACTCCGAGGCTCAAGCAATCTGCCTGCCTTGGCCTCCCAAAGTGCTGGGGTTACAGGCATGAGCCACTGTACCCAGCCCAAAGAAGTGTAATATTATTCTTATCTCATTTTTTCAAATGAGGAAATTGGGATTTAAAGATTTTTTTTTTTTTTTTTTGAGACAGAGTTTCGCTCTTGTTACCCAGGCTGGAGTGCAATGGCGCGATCTCTGCTCACCGCAACCTCCACCTCCTGGGTTCAGGCAATTCTCCTGCCTCAGCCTCCTGAGTAGCTGGGATTACAGGCATGCGCCACCATGCCCAGCTAATTTTTTGTATTTTTAGTAGAGACAGGGTTTCACCATGTTGACCAGGATGGTCTCGATCTCTTGACCTCGTGATCCACCCGCCTCGGCCTCCCAAAGTGCTGGGATTACAGGCGTGAGCCACTGCGCCCGGCCTTAAAGATGTTTTTAAAAGCAGATGCCCATGGCCTCAGAGCTAGTAAATGATGAGGATGGAAAGAGAGACCTGTTCTCCCCTTCCAAATCTAATATGTGGGCCATTTTAAGTAAGGTATTGCCAAATTAGCTCATATCTAAAGAGGTAACCAAGGTATTGAAAACATGAAGAAATGAACTGTTAAGGGAAAAGGAAAATGCTTAAAAATGGGAGGATATCTTTGAGGGACAACAATAGCTGTCATTAGACAGAAGAAATGCAGCATAAGAGGGTGTTTAGGTGTACCTTATACTGCATTAGAGCGGGGTCAACACATTTTTTCTGTAAAGGGCAAATGGGCTTTGGGGGGCCATATGGTCTCTGTTGCCGCTACCAGACTCTGTCATTGCAGCATGAAAACAGACATAGATAGTATTCAATGAATGGGCATGGCCATGTGCCAATAAACCATTACAAAAACAGGTGGCAGATTAGATTGGGCCATCAGACTGTAGTTTGCCAACTCCTACATTAGAAGGTTTAACAAGCCTTTTCAAATGGGAGTAGAGGGACATCTAGACTTCGTGGAAGAAAAAAATCTTTAAAGTATGCATTGGCCTTTTTTTAGATCCTTCAACTAATAATGTTCATTCTTGTCTCAGAGTCTTTTTCACATGCTGATACCTTTCTGTGGAATCTTCTTCCTCTTCCCCTTCCCCTGGCTAATTCTTACTCCTTGTTTGGATCTTCATGTGCCACAGAACACTGTCATTCTTCAAAGTGCCAAGCACAATTATAATGGCAATAATTATGCATGCCTTTGTTTGTCTAAGGATTTTTCCCCTGACGAGGGCTGTGTGGAAGATGCTGTTGATGGCCTTCCTCATATCCCCTAGGCCCAATTGTGAGTTCAGGTGGTGACAGTCCCTGCATGTGCACAGGACCATCTCAAGTGCTGCTAATCTGTCTGAGGGCTTTCTCCAGCCCATGTATTGGGCAGACCATATGTGTCAGTGATTTAACAGTCCCATGGGAACTCTTGGTCAGTGAAGGATGGGAATTGGAGTCTAAATACCCTAGCTTCCTGTCTTCTCCATACAACAATTTGAATGTACCTATATGGTTCCCAGTGGGATTGAATTCCGGATGTCCACAGATGTAACCTTCTCATTAATAACTCTTTTTGGCATTCTCTCTTGCCTGTCTCACTCTTCCCTACCCTCTCACTTGTGCTTTTGGCATCACTTTCCAAATAAACAACCTGCACATGTCTTTGTCTCAGGAACTTCTGTGGGAGAACTCAAACTAAGACAGGTAGGAAATGCATCTATGATGTTCATACCTTCATCCCCAGATTCTGAGATTTAGTCTTTGGGGCTAGCCCCTAATCTTCTCTTAATAAAGAAATGAACAAACCCTTGAAGAATCTGCACAACAGTGGAGGCAATAATTATTTCTCTAAGTAGTGAGGGTTCCATTACTGGAACTGAGCAAGTAGAGACACAAGTTAACTACCCACAGTATAGTGGATACTGGGGACCTCCAAATATATCTTTAGGTCCACAGATTTATCCTCCAGTGTCTGGGAACACTGGCTGCTGATGGCTCACAGCTGCTTCCCTCCCTAGGAACTGACCTCTGCAGCAGGAAATTGCCTTTCCGGAAATTGTGCTTTCTACTTGGGGATGGCCTACAGTCAATGATTTGCTGATATGGGGATATGAAAACTTGGCCATACTGTCTCAAGTTGAAACAATTCTGAGGGTTCTTTTCAACTCTAGAACTCTCTGTTGGATTGGCGAAAGCCTCTGTAGTAACTGCATTACTGGTCGGCTTCTCCCCCAGCCCAGTCCTGCTTTTTTCACTTCTCAAGTTGTACCTCCTGGGAACACAGCCCAGTATACTATCTTCCTGCAACTCCCCATCTTAGAGCTTAATCTAAGACTCAATGATGTCAAAGGGAAGATTCTTCCACTTGTAGGAATTCCAGTTCCGACATGTTGACTTCAAATGAGGAAGCACAGGAAGCATTTGCAAAATTGGAAAGGGCCCCAGCAATTGTCACTGATGTTTATTATTCCTCTCAATACCCGGGGGCTCTGACAGCAGCACCTGTAAGATGCCTCACTTAGTGATGGTGTTGTAATCGTTCCACCTGTAGACTGATTAAGAGCTTGGTTACTTTCCTTCTTGTTGGTTTGGTATTTGCAGTGGATGACCGCAGGCCGGGGCATTCTGCACGCCGAGATGCCTTGCTCAGAGGAGCCAGCCCATGGCCTACAACTGTGGGTTAATTTGAGGAGCTCGGAGAAAATGGTGGAGCCTCAGTACCAGGAACTGAAAAGTGAACAAATCCCTAAACCCAGTAAGGATGGCGTGACAGTTGCTGTCATTTCTGGAGAAGCTCTGGGAATAAAGGTAAGCCAGGCTATTTTGTCTATTAAACCTGAGGCGTGCAGTGACATAAGACTGGCCCCTTCTGGGTTGTCAGCTCTCACTAGGTTTACCAAAATTCATGTCCCATGGGATTGGACTTGATTCGTAAGTGTCAGAGTAAGTGCAACCTAAGATAACCTAGAAATTTTTGCTGCATACAAACTCGTAGAGTTAGGAAAATTACAAGAAAGCAAGATCATATAAAGTTTGGTCAGAGAGCAATTTTCAAAGTGTGTCTTAATATATGTGCTGATTTAGTCTAATTCCTTTCCCTTATAGTGCAATTTTATGCTTTAAGTTATAGCTGCTTAGTACTGCAGGATTGCTACCTTTGAGAAACAACCAACAAGCAAGACCAAACTCCACAAAGATTTATATAAATTACTTATGCCCAGCTTAGTAATATAAGGAAAGCACACTACTACATTCCAGAAAGTATTTTTAAATTTTAACTTGACAATTTGTCTAACCCATACATGACATGCCCTTTACATGTTTTTCAACTGGGACTTTATACTATTTGGGTTTAGAGTTTCATCCTTTTGATCAAATAAATCAATTTAGGCTAAAGATTATGGATATATTTGTGGGAGGAAAGGGGTGTGGCAAATGCTGAGTTAATTGCACACCAGAACTGCTCCTGGGGAGAATAAGATTCCTCATACCAATCAATTTGAGGTAATGGCAAGCTGGGTAGTGTGCTCTCTTAGGTGGAGTTTCCCAGAAGCAGACCCTGAGATGAGGATTCCCATGCAAGTGATTTTTAAGTAAGTGTTACAAGGAGAACAGTAGAACGAATCAGGTTGAGGTAGGGGAGGAAGTGAAGCAAGGCTGCCATCTCGGGCAAAGTCTTGAAGAGGGTGGCTTTAGCTTTATCCTGCAAGGGACTTTAGAAGATCAACATGCCTCAGAGATGTCCGACCCCATCCCTGGCAAGGGAGCTGGGCTTTCATGCTCCTTTACCCAATGGCCATTGATTATGGCCATTAACTTTGAGGTGGAGGCACAGAAATGGTTAAAGGGATCTGAGGGGATCTGGAAGAAGCCTTGACATCAGGTACTACACATGGCACATCGCACTGAGGGCATCAAGATAATGGGAGTTACTTTGCCATTTTCCCAGGGACAACCAGCACTTAAAGCTATTTAAAACTAACTTGTGTAAATTTTAATTTTTTGATGTGCACCATCAGGGATAATGGTTTGGCAGTGGCTGCTAACCAACCACTCAATGGGATTCATGGGATGGTTAATAGATTGCTCATGGTTATTGGTTGGGACTTACCAGTTTTTGTATTTCCTGAACTATAACCAAAGTTTTGTTTTTGTTTTAACCTATACCCTGCCTAGGTATATGGATTGTTTTGTTGTGTGTTTCTAGTGCAAACAAAGTAATTGAACAACAAAAAATGAAAGTTCACAAAATTAAGCATATCTGACTGCTGTCCACATCCCTGGCAGACCTATTGCTTATTTTGCCATTGGAAAAAACCCTTTGTTATGTTTATGTGACTCGTTTCTGTTTTGCCAAACGTTGGTCAATGAGTGCCCTTTTCAGCTGTTTGTAAAGAGTTTCCTTCCCTTAAGCTCTGCAGAAGAGGGTTAAGAGCCTTTGAGGACTTCCAGGTGTAGCAGCAAAAGATGTTGTTGGGTATAGTATCAGGCAGAGCTAAAGGGAGCTGAATTAATACATATATGAAGCCACTCACTCTGTCTAACATGGTGTTTTCCTTTCCTGTTTCCAGGACCCTGAAGTTTTAGGGACATACCTTTAGGGGATACTGAGATGGATAGTAGAGGGCAAGAAGCTCCCCTCTGCTTCAACCAAAACACAAGACTTTGCCCGATTTTGTATATTGTAATTGTCCATAAGATTTGATTTAGAAAAAGAGTTGAGCTGTTGGCAGCTCAAAAGAGAAATCAGACCAGTGATTTAATAGATTAGCAATGCCAGTGATATCATGAATCCTTAGAGTTTACAACTACTTCTCATTTATAGAAATCATAAGGCAATTTAAGGTTTAAGCCAGTAAAGGACTTTCAAACAGCAGACCATGTGGTTTTGTAATCACAACCAAGGATTAGAGACCAGAGGTAATGTTTTTACTTTGTAAAATAGTGTAATTATCTGCCAGCTTCTATTATTTCTTTTTGTTAAGTAAATCTCTGGAGTGAATTATATTCTCCTAAGTAAATGATCAGTCTTTCTTATGAGTGCATTTTGATAAAAAGGCCTCTTGGAACCGTGGGCAGCATTATTTTGGATTTCAAGAGGCAGTGTGGTGCAGTGGTTACCAGCATGGACTCTGGAGACAGAATGCCTGGGTTAGAATCCCTACCATGAACTAGCTGTGTGGCCTTGGGCAAGCCTGTTAACTTCTCTGTACCTCAGTGTCTCATCTATAAAATAGGGTTTTTTGTGAAGATTAAGTGACTTTTTGTACATTAAACTCTCAGAATAGTGCCAGACACATTGTAAGCACCACATAAGTGGCAGTTATTATTTTGATTACTTTTTGATAACTTGAACAGGAGCTGGGCTGAGATTTATGTCTGCCATCTAAGCTAAAAGGATTTGCTGTGATTTGAGAAAGGTTATTAACCTGCACTCAAGAAAGAACACCAGTGAGAGTCATATTAAAGATGGAGAGCAACTGGCCATTTCTTTGTGGGTCTCATAAGAAACAGTTTTGCACATCTGAAGCCATAATATCTGATCAACAAGTAATAACTGGGTCTTACAGTCTAGACCTACCATAAAAAGAAACTGAAGATTGTTTTGCATCAGGAAGATAATTTTAAGTTAAATTACAAGGTGAGGCTGAGAACATATCTTTCAAGAGATTAATGTGTTTATAGCCAGTACAGCATCAACAACAACTTCCATCTCTGCAACTAAAATATCTGGAAAATGGAGTTAGTGACCATTCCAGCATTTCTTTAACTTTAACATTCAGGTGAATTACCTGAGGGTCTTGTTAAAATGAAGAGTGATTCAGTACATCTGAGGTGGGATCTAAGAGTCTACATTTCTAACAGGCTCCCAGGTGATGCCAGTACTGTGGTCTAAGGACCACTCTTTATAACTTCCATAATGGGCATGGGATCCAAGACACAGAAGTTTACCCATCTTGAGGAATCATTTGATTAAGCTCCTATAGAAGATGTCAAATGATCTAGTACTGTGGATTTTGGCAAATCTTATTTAGCTTTTCTGGAACTCAGTCCCGACAGCCACAAAAAAGGTGAGGGGGTGTATTGTATAGGATACTGTTGCTTTTATGAGCAGCAGAAGTGTCTTTTTGATACTACCAAGGGTAGCAGTATGCCTGTTTCCCAGGCTGTATGTGTCTGAGCATTTATTCAGCCCTTGGAAAACCAAGGCAGAACAAGATTCTGCTAGGACAGTATGGTCTAAAGTGAAGGGTGAACAGGGTGAAAAGATTAAAATGGGATAGTTTGAATGGTTCCTGTCACTTTTGAAAGGTCAAAATCACATGTTTATTTCATGAGGGTATGAAATTCTCCAAACCCCATTCCATCCTTATCAGCCAACCAATCAGCAATATTTATTGCCAGCTGTCTTTGGAACACAATTCTTTTTCCAAAAACCTGCCTCTACTTGTGTCCTGCTGCTCTAAATGTTGTCAGAAGCAAACCTTGAGGAGGCCTCAGCCCCACTGGGGTTAGAGAAAGGCAATCTGGAACCAGATGGCCTTGGTTCAAGGCCAGCTCACCAATGACTCACTCTGAAGAAGTCACTTAAGATTGCTGTGCCTCAGTTTTCTCATCTGTAAAATGGAGATTATAATGACCCAGCTCAGAGGGTTGCTGGGAGGATTAAGTTGGCTATTACTTGTAAAGACTTGGGTGCAGAGTAAGCCCTCTATAAGTGGTTGCTATTTTCACTTCCATACAAAATATTGGGGCAGTTTTCGTGTGGCCTACAAATGTAACCAAAATCATCTTTTTTCTGATGGGCAGTCTGTATATTCATGTGTTGGATGATAACCAAATTTTAAAAATTTTAATTTTCAAGAAAGTTTACTAAACGTCTCATCGAATTCACTCAGATCTTACCACTGTGGACTTAGCACCAGAAACAATGCCTGAGACATAAAAGATGATCAATAAATATTTTCAAATGAATAAATGAAATTATTAAAATATACATGGATACTAGAAAAAGAGAAATGAAGGTAAAGTAGTAAGAAGATAGACAATATAGGGATTAAGAATGATTGAAATAAGTTTAAAACGAGCTTATTAAAAAGTTAAGAGAACAGTAAAATTAGCTAAGTTATATCTTAAAATAAACTGTTTAAGGGATTAGGAAGTAAGGAAATAAAAACCAGATTGATTTTTTTTCTTTAAATGTGGACTGTTTTGCAGGACCCAAATTGTTCTTGCAGGTTTTTTCAAGCAGTGACAATAATGGTGAACAGAGGTTCAGAGGCTTGTGGTTCCCCTTTGGAGGCTACAGGCAGGTGTCTTCTTGTCTGCTTTAGCTTTTTCCATGTGACTTTTTAGGGCACGGCTTGAGCTTCAGAATAGCGGATATACTTACCAGTTTTCTAGGCATTTCTTGTGGGTATCTCCCCTCCCTTGACGTGGTTTAGCTCTACGAGCGTTGGAAGACCCCATGTCCCTAGGGCAGTTCTCTCCTAGGCAACAAGGAACCTGCCCACTAATCAGCCTGTGTTGGTTGTGGGTTGACAAGTAATTTATAATCAAGCCTGTAATAATCCCCAGTGATTTGAAGAGCTGATGGAGTCTCCTCGCTACAACCAGCCACTGGTGAACATGCACATTTTTTCCTATACCAGAACTAGAGAGAAATAGCTGCCCATGACATTCTCCAGGTTTTGTTTTCATCCAAGAAACTTTTAGGGGCCGGATGTTATTTGAAACACTTGATCACCACAATGCAATTTTGTCAGTATTCCTTCTACCTTAACTTGATTAAAAATATATTTTATGTG